CGTTCTGTTGTGATTCAGAATTGGGAAGTTGTTGTGATTAATTGACAGAAGACTATGTGGAATTGGTCGTGGCCTGTATTAAGTTACTTTTCCCAGCATTTGCCTGGGAGAAACATAGTCGCGAAGTCGGTGCCCGCCAAAGCGATGTGGGAGTGGCAGTCGCTCCGTCGCGCTGGAAGATTGGGACTCGCTGTTAGCACGCGGCCTGTGCGCAATGCGTTTGCCTCAGGGACGGGACGATAAGAAACAGGCTGAATTTCTCGTCTGGTCCAGTGTGACACGCAAGTTGGCGGTCAGCGTTCGGTTCCCGACGGCATGGTAGTTGGAAGACCAGGAAGTGTCTTAGGAGAACGGCTAGACCTTAAAGCGTTGAAATAAGGAGTCTGAACAGATTACACAGGTCAAATTACGAACTTCACAAATCGTGACCTTTGTCAGGTTATGGCCCGGGATAGCTCAATGAGGTGGTTGAACGACAAGGATTCGGTTTCCGGAATGGTCGCCTCTGAGTCTAGCGGCCGGACCGTGACTCACTGTAGTACTGGTGTTGGAAAAACGACTTTCTGGCGCTGTGCTTCGGTTTTACCGTTGCCTAAGTTGGGAGGTGTTGGATGTGGCACGTAGAATTATTTTGATGGGATCTGTCTTGTGAACGTTGGTGGTTTGAGGATGTCAAATGGAATCTGCTGGCAGGCTCCGTGATGACGTCCTTGCTATGAGGCACTGTGCAGAGCCACCTTCACGACGCCTGTGATGTGGATAGGAACTTTAACGGAACGACACTTTTAAAGCCTGTCTCACGGTGAGCCGATCGTTTCTATATACCTTACGCCACGTAAGACGAGCAGCCTCCTACAGTCACTGCCCTAATGACATTAAGACAAACTGATTTCGTGACTACCTGTTTTTCTGTAGTGAGAAACATATATCGCGTGTACTCTCTATTTGCTTCCGGTATAAAGCCAACGTTGTATCGCTGTATGTACCTGCCTCACAGCACTGGCATTGAACCACCCTTAGGTTTGTCGCTTTTGTGTCTGCCCTGCTTGAGTAGTGTTCACAATAACGGAGTGCTGCGTAATTGAATTTGTCCGGAACTTTCTGTTCTTGGTTATTCACTCGATCTCTTTTACTACACTTTAATTTAATTTGTGTCCATTTAAACATTCAGTTCAACAGCATCTCGTTTGGCTTCTGCGCAGATCAGATGACTTCATGATTCATAAACGATGGGCAACGCTGCAGCTAGTTATCAGATTTGATAGTCGGCCGAGTTTCCTGATTGAGGCTTTTTACTTTTTTCCTCATTCCGTCCCGGTTGATACATTGCAGTGTTTTGCAAAGCATTTCTTCTGCAGTCTCTCAAGAACCAGCCGTATAATTTACTCATACCTGCCTTTTTGAAGCAGTTCAGCACCGTATTCACAAAAGCCTGATATTGGGAGCTGTTGTGGACCAATTTAATGCGTTTCACATCTTCACACACAAACACACGCTCATAATATTTATTTTTGCTCTATATTGATATTACATTCTCTTCTGCGCCGAGTATCCACCCAAAAAATGTTTGTGTTTCTTGTTTTCGCTTGTTTTCTTACGCATTTTTGGTTGAATCACGCTGATAACATTGTTTTGAGGTGCACATCGAAAGCTCGTGAATCTCCATCAGCAATAAAAATATTGAGACGGATGTGGGAAAGCTAAAGAACGAGACGACTGGCACGGACGCGATCGCCTTTTTGTGGTGGTTAATACGTCATCGCTAGCGCGACTCAACATTTTGCGAAGCCGACAGGCTGAACAGATGCCACATTTCATTTGTGCAGGGAAATAACTCAGCCAGTTTGGCGACTGTCTGTGGGCTTGATGACCGGGGATAAATTCCCAGCAGGTGCAGAGGTCTTCCTCAAAGTCTCCTCGTTGAAGCCTGCTCTGGGGCCCGCCTATGCAGCATGCTTGGAGGTGTACATCCACTTCGCCGTATGCCTTCATGGCGTGGTACTTCGTTTAGCATGGGAACGGCCTTTTCAGTAATGCACACATTCCTTCATGCGGGCTTCTCATATGTCTGATGGGGACATCTATCAGAAGGAGCGTAAGACGTTGAGAGTATCTCATCTTCTGTGCTGAAAATTGACTGTTTCTTAGGCAGTGGGATCCGAAGGTTTAGCACTGCTATACTCCGGCTGAAAATTGACTGTTTCTTAGGCAGTAGGATCCGAAGGTTTAGCACTGCTAAGTCCTGTGTTAGTTCCATCCATGTCCTGCCCTCACTGACTGTTTCTCCATGACCCATCTCAATGTTATCGTGCAAATTTCTTCTCGTTCTCCGATGTGACCTCTTTCAACAGCTTTTCCCACAAGAATTTGGTATGCATTTATTGTATTACATCCCAGTCTCATGCCCAGCCCATGTAACCTCACAGTTTTCACTATCCAAAAAATATTATGGGTGAGCTGCAGGCCTAGTGTATTTTGGACCCTGGAATCGCTGGAACCATTTTGACCGTTCTCGTATCTACACAAGATATTAAAATAGGCTGTGTCAGGTCCATTCAGTAGGCCTGGTCGATAGACAGTAATAAAATAAAGAAACAGAAATGTGAAGTTCGATCCTTGCCTAGTTTCTAAACAACACAAGAAAATAAATAAAACCTTCCCACCCTCCCTCCGCCGCCACGCAATGCAACGAATGGACGTTTTACATCAAATTAAGAATCGAGCATAAAACAGCATAAAAACATAGTTCCCAGGCGAATGGTGCTGCAGCGGTCTGTTTAACCGATTTAGTAGCTGGAACGTGACGAGGCTCAGACGAGATTTTCACTCGAAAGAAGATCCGAGACTAGAAGTAACGTCGAACGTAGAACAGGGAGTGAAGTGAAGTGCCGTCTTCCCTCTGTATTTTTGAGATATTAAACCGACGGGGGATGGGCGGACGGGACACGCACGTGGCGCAGAAATTGCTACAGGATTTTCTTGCAAGCTTCGTGTGAAAATTTGCTTCGGAGACTCAGGATAATATAAAGTTTAATGCCGTCAGTTGGAAATAATACGACAGAGACTCAGAAACTATGTCACCTGTAACCCCGCTAAATATTTTGACTCCTATTGGTTTAAATGTTTTCAACTGATTGGCTCATCATTACTCAGTGGGAAAATTTTGCAGTAACAACGAGATTATAGCAGGCTGTCTGCAGTTGTACGGAATATAGGCTACGTATGTAAAGCCTATTACTGTGTCACTGTTAATAGTGTTAAGTTGGCCCCTTGTCACCACAAACTGGCGCGTCCTCAGGTTGCGGTTGGAGAAGTCGGTCTGCAGACATGGAGGATAGCTGCCAGTATATTGAAGAAGTGGTCGCTGGCATTCAACAAGGGGTGGTTTTACAGCTTGGGGGTTTGGCGGGGTGCTAAACTCCTGAGCTTAAATGGTCAGAATATTACGAAAAATTAGAAATGTTAAGAACAGCTTTGAGCTTGAGGACTGATTGCGGACTTTTATGAGCACGGTTTCATAAAAGGCAGGCAATTGCTTGACCAACTGAGCGACTGTTAGCTCCTGAAGGACTCAGCTCCGTGGAGTTGGCATCCTGGTAACGAAGCAGTGAAATGCTGCGGCCAGGATCATTGTTTTAGCGCGAGAGTCGAAGTGGACGAAGGTTTGTTTATACATCGTTCGTGTTTTCAGGTAGGGCAGAGCGTGCGCCGGGAAATGTGAGCGTTTCAAAGTGCGTTGCTAAAGCGGTTGCGGGGTTGTACACGACGGCTGCTTGGTACCGGCTGATGACGAGGTTAACAGAAACGTTTATCTGGGAAGATGCTGTGTGGGATGCGGTAGTGTTGCCTGTCACTGTGCCGGCATCTCAAGGTCGGGAGCGAGGGCGATTCGGAAGAGGTATTGACAGCGGTCGGTCAATTTCTGCCTCTAATGCACAGCCAAATATTTTATTCTTAACAACAATAATTGATTAGCTGGATAAGCGGAAGGGAAGCCCTCCTGAATTCCCTGCTGGGAGCTGCTCCATCGATCCGGACTTCAGTGAGCGCCACGCCACGCCACGCAAAGGAAACCCAAGTCATATATACACTTCGTGACCGCAGTTTGTAGCCAGTGACCCGGCTGCTCGATGGCCCGCAACTGGCTCATAGTTTTTTAAATGTACTCGGTGGCTAGCACGAGATATTAATAATTACACAGCTTAGCGGCATATTTCTGTCCTAAATGCACGAAGGCAGTTGGGGGTATAACATAAAACTTTGGCTCCTTCGTCATGTTTGTAATTTTTAGCATATGCAAGTATTTCGCAGTATCTTTTCAGTTGACTCATGATTGTTTGCCACACTGTGGGCACTGAATAAAACTGCTTACAAATCTGAGTCATGAGAGCCCTTGGGCCGAACTGAGTAGATACGTCTCGCATGCAAACAAGTGCAAAGTGTTACCACCGCACTACTTTTTCAGTAACTTACGTTTTCCATGGACAAAACTTTAATGTCGGGACTGTACGGAACGGGACTAAAATGTAAACTCCATTCTGAGTTCATGCTTCACAGTAAAAATTTGTTTTGTTCATGTACGGAACGGGACTAAAATGTAAACTTCATTCTGAGTTCATGCTTCACAGTGGAAATTTGTTTTGTTCCGACTCGAAGTCAGAGTCACGAGGGTCGATTGTGAGTTGTCGATGAATCATTTGCTACATCCAATAAACTGGAGCGTTATCATCCCCTGCAATTGCATTGCATTGGTCAATAATGAATGCTTATGACTCAGCGCCTTATTTGCATAAAGATTTCTCCCATAAGCTCTACCAGTGTGCCCTGTAGCCCCTCACAGGATATGCAAACGCGCGATGATCCAACGGGACTGAGCATTGTTCAGACTAGTTAATAAAAAAAATTGAACAATCCCTCTCTCTCGCTTTTCCATCAGGTTAGCAAGAAGTTAAGTGTGGGGCGGTTGCCATAGTAACAAATAAAGCATGGAAACGTTGTGATTTTATACGTCGCTCTCTGTGTGCAAGAGTCATTGCATTTTTGATCTCATAAATGACAAATGGTGCTTACACAAAACGGAAACTGCCTCTGTAACCCTGATACACCCTTCTCCTTTGCCGATGTCAGAACAACTTCGTTTGTTACGACTGTGAAATAATTATTTTTATCGGATCACGTAAGAAGGAAATGAGGGAAAATATTTTCTGTTAGGAGCGCTGTTAGCAAAACGTAATTCGTATGCTGTGTGTTCCCTCTTTCTGTTGCAGGCGTTGGTAGTATAAAACACTAATAGACTGATTTTAGTGAAAGTTGTTATGAACTGCAAGACAAACATCTTTGCATTTTTACTTTCTGTCATCCACAATACCAGCACGGCAGACATGCGAACTTCTGAGTACATGGCTTTGGAATGCAGTAACTTTTTTCCTTGAGAGAGAGAGAGAGAGAGAGACATGGCATTAGCTGCTGCATTGTTTGCTACGGGGTGGAGCAGAGATCGTCCTCTCGTCATCAATGTGTCCAGATGGGTCCTGAGGTCTGCCTAGCTTCCTATCCAGTCGTTACTGGGGAGTCCAACGTTTTTGTCGAAGCTGAAGGGAGGAGACCAGTTTTGAGATCTACACGCAGATGGGAGGATATTAGTAAAACTGATCTTAAGAAAGTCCATTGTGAGGGTGTGATTCAGGATAGTCTGGTTGCGGGCTGTTGTGAAAAAGGTAATGAGCCTTTGAGTCCCATGAAAGATGGGTACTTTCTTGACTTTCTCAGAGGCTAGCAGGTTGTCGAGAAGGCCTCTGCTCTAAGCGTCTCGGAATCCTAGTTTACAGGAGTGTCAGGCTGTTGTGCGAAACGCATAGCGCAGCAGCTCGGGTTGTGCGTAGATTCCTCTTCCTGCATACGATCAGAAGGAACTTGCTCACCTGCCAGGATTTTGCTTCTGCCGAGTTTCGAACCGTATGCCTCGGGATCACAAGCCAGGGGCGTTCGAGCTGAGTGGATTTTCCTTATGGGACGAGTCTTGGGAAAATTTCGTGAAGAAGTTGTCACAACATGATAGCACGACAAAGAAACAGAATTGTCGCGGCGCGTATGTAGTAATATTTCTGTGCCCGCTTTTAAAAAAAATTATAGCGTTCCTTTGTTTGTCCGTTTTCATGACAATTCAAAGTTTTCATTGTCGAAAATCCACAAACACTTGTTTATAAATTATAAAAAGGATAGTGCAAGTTCATTTTCACTGACACTGTTAAATATGAGTATTAAACGTATAAATGCATGGGGTGGTGGTGGTGGTGGTAGTGGTTGTGTCCAAACGAGATACCTCGGTATTGGCATTGGAATGGTTAATAGCATATTCCGTGATATTGTAGATAGGCCAATAGTAATGGTCGTAGGAAACAGCTCCAGGTATAAACGAGTTACTTTTTATTCTGCTGCACAAGGGCCTGTTAGCTGTAAGCTCTATCGGTTCCGGAGTAACCCCCGCTGAATAGGATGATGACGATTTACAGAATGACGTTTAATTTTGTGTCGCTAACCAAATCTTTGTTGTCCGTTACGCAGATGGTTTTGAGTTTGTTGGGGCGTGTAGTAGCCTTGTTTTCCAGATGTAGACCTGCCTGCACCGGCTTCGTGCGGTGATGTAAACGGTGATTTCTTGTGCTGTCTCAGCGGCGTGCTACCCACTTGCAGCAGCCCGTGTAATGTCACCTGGGTTGGCGTAGATTTCATATTGCCAGTAGAACGTGTGTTGGCGCCGCCTTCCTTACAGTTCTCTTTTGTTACTCTTTGCAGGGTTCCATCTCAGCGGAGTGGTGACTGCTCCGCCGCCTTCTAGTCCCGCGTCTTCGGGGTACAGCCTAGAAGCTGACAAGAAGTACAAAGTTTCGGTCAGTTTCGACAGGTGAGTACGTCGGTGATCGTACCAGGACCTGAGGTACACTAAAGGAGGGCGAAGGGACTTGAGACAAGGGCGAATGAAGGGCCAAGGTCCATCATTAGAGTAGGGGTTGAGGATTGTGGGTTAATGTGCGTTGTTAATTTCAGCATGTCTTCTGAGGTGCGTGGGAATGAATGATTTCTGGGAAGGATGTGAGAGAGAACGGAAATGGCCCTGCTGAGGTAATTAATGGGAAGCAGACAAGAATGTCACGAGGACGCCGGGATAGTTGGCGTTCCAGCCAAAAACGGTACCCCAGAATACAACACCCGAGTTCTAACCAAGAAACCTTGATGGAAGGTGTTGCAGGTTGCAAACCTGGCCCCTTGGAATGCGGATGACTGAGACTGAGTTTCTTTTAAGTCAGAGAATGTGTGTATTAAGGCGCAGAGTTTTCAAGCAACTCCCTTCCCGCCCATCTCGGAAATAACGTTCCAGGCAGCTACTAAGTGCTCTCCCCGCGAATCTTTAAGAAGCTGTGGAGCCTGTAACAGTTATCACAATTCGAATGTAAAATCAGTTCGTATTAATCCGTGCAGCTGTCACATAAGAGTGGGTGGTACGTGGTTTTGGAGTTCATGAGTTGTCTGAACTTCACACCGATAGATGTCTTCGAAGAGTAAGCAGCCACAGGCAGTGTGATGAGTATTATTTTGGTAAAATCGTGACTCTCTCAAAAAAAAACCCATTGGGATGTGCTTTAAGCCAACCAAGCAAATTAGTGAGTTTGTGTGTTTCCCCAGTTTATACACGGATATGCCTTTCAGGGGTGTCACATGTCGAAACTCATGCGGTCCGTGTGGGTTTTAAGCACAGTAAGTTGCATCGGGACAATCTGACAGAAATACTGTAACATGCCGTGCACAGCATTTTGCTCTGGGCCGTTCGGAGCTAGAACGATTGAAGCTCAGCTGGACTTAATCCTTTCTCTTCGGCTTTCCGAAAGAGTTTTCTGTGCCTCCTAGTTCCCGTTGGATGGGAGGCTGTGTGTATCAGAACCTGTGTGGACCGGGACCGGAGCGTTCATTTTAGCCGTGTTAACCTGCCTAGACTGGGTTTTCTTGGCCAAGGACAGGGATCGGTGGAGGGCTTTGGTTAATTCGGTGATGAACCTCCGGGTTCCGTAAGCCATCTAGTTAGTTAGTTGGTTTGCGAGTTTTGACAATCCTAGACGTTCTTTTTCTTCTTGATTTTATGTGTTTGTTTATTGACATGTGCTTTTTGTGTTACCGTTGCTCTTGTTTTCCATTGTATTTTGTCAGGTATGTTTTTGTATTGCCACATGAATTACTAGTCGAATATCAATATCAGGCTGTCATAGCTCCAGATTCTGTAAGCGTCTGAATGGAGTCTGCATTTCAACGCCGTGAATGTACGGCAACTTCTCCGACACACTAGCTGTGCTGGCAGCCGGCAGTGTTCTTCAGGCGTAATGCCTGTAGCTCATACGTGCTTTGTATAGCACGGGTTTGCCTTGATGACCGTCGAGGTCTTGGTTGATGCAAGATGGCGGTCGGCGCATGTCTGAGGCAGGTGCATGTGTACGAGGTGGAGGGGAGCTCATTCATAAAACATAATAATTAGCGAAGTGCCTGTGGGTCAATGTCTGCCATTTCCTTCCGCTCCGCTGTGGATCGATAGCGGTTCCCACAGCCGGTGCCGAAAATTAGTTCTCAAGCGGTCGTAAGTTTCGTGGTTCGGTATTTTGATAGGTGGCTTTACCAAGGGGTGAGACTGGGGGTTAACCACTCCCCCCACATCACTTTTGTTAATGATAAATATTTGGTTGTCTGGACTAGTCCTGTCTAATCGAAGTGGCTGTTTCAAGAACGATTACACGCGTGATTTAACGATATATCATATCAGTTTGACACTTACTTGACTGACAAACTGTGGACGCAGCACTGGCAAATCAGTTCATGCTAGAAAAACACCCAAATCCTCGTTATGAAATGTAATTCCTGGTGTTGACACCTCTTGAATTAATTACGTTGCAACAGTGAAACCTCGATTTTTGAAGTCTTAAAAAGGTTTTAATGACAAAGTTTTTATGAAAGCTGCCACACGGCACCACTGCTGCTTCGTTTTCTGTAAAACTGGGATGTGTTGACTAACAAACGAAACAGTTGGCTCGTGTAACTGCGAAGAGCGTACAACGAATTCCACGACTCTGTTGTTTTTATTTTCTGCGCTTTGAACGAAGTGGCAAAACTAGGTACATTTTGCATGCATTTGACACCTAGCGGCAGAAATACGAATTTTTGCGTGAGTTATTTTTATTCTTCAGGATGATGCAGTTTATAAGGCACAAAATAAAGAATTTACACGGCTCGTATTACACCACAAAAATGTCGCAATGATTTAGGCTTGCCTTGCCTGAAGTTCTTAATTGGTGTTTTAGTTGTGTCGGCGTTTTCATTTATGAGAATGGCTACACAGCAGTTAACGTGAACTGCAGGATTAAGAGACTGCGGTTAGTGGAGTGCTGTGTAACAGTGCGTTCTTGCAGGTATAGGCCACTGTGTCGACAAGCGACCTATCTGCCAACCTCCTGCTATAGGACGGTCGTTGGTTTTTCCTACGTGCTTCTTCTGTACTCCGACGTTTCTGTGGTGGTTCACTGTAAAGCAGTTCCCGTTACTTTCGAGTCGGCGGATCTCATGTGCGTACAGTTCATCTTAAGCGCCATGGTGCAGGAGATTCCGTCAACAGTTGACCGTTGTCCACGTATCTGCGACGTTCCCTGCTTCACTATACCCGGAAAATCATTACGGTACCAGATCACAAAATCCACCATTCAGCTATATTTTGAGCCAGTTAAATCCAATTTACCCACTGCCATAAGATACGTGTTGATATTATTTTTATATGCGCGTAGGTTTTCGTATTTGTCTCTTCCTTTGAATTTTCCGGCGAAGATTCTGTTCAAAATGTTCTGTTTTCTTATTTGTTCTATATGCCTCGTTCATCGTCCTTGATGTGATCGCCCAGAGAACAACCGACAGATTATAAAGTTCCAGGTTTAATCCTGTCCATGTTCACACTTGAAGTATCGTAGGTTCACCTGTTCTCCAGCTCGTGCCTATCTCACTGGCAGTGCCTTCTCGCCCCGGACGCCGGTTATTATTAATGAGAATTTAGTTAATTTCTCCATGCACATTCTAGGATAAAACATTGAAACAGGCCACAATCGATTCCTTCCGCATTCTTTTCGTCATTGATCATAATTATCTTCGCAGTTGTCGCTTTGTAAGCCAATTAGTTGAGAAACCTTCGTTAAATTGGGAAACAAACGCAACAACAACCACCGCATGTCTCACTAATGTGGCGCTTTGTCTGTCTGCAGGTGCAAGATCACATCGGTGACATGCAGCTGCGACACGAAGGACATCTTCTGGTGCCAGCACGTGGTGGCGCTCTCGCTGTACAGAATACGCAATGCAGAGAGTGTTCGTCTCAGGGTGCCCATCTCAGGTATGAATCTCTGAACTGGTCTCGGCTCGACGTTCAAAGTAGATTTGGACGGATTTCTCATATTCTCAGTTCTTCCTTCCTTGCTTTTATTGGGAAGTACAGAATGCACAGGGCAGATGTTTAAGAATAATATTTAGTACAGCCAATGAGGAAACTTTACTGTTTGTTGACGGAACTGTTGTAAAGAATGCGTATGCTCTTATGAACATGTGTCTTGTATTTGTTGTGAAATTCGTACTAACGTCTACTTAATTTTATTTACAAAAGTCTGAAGATTGAAACATATAAAATTGATTGTTCGTTTGCGTGGGTGAACTGCTTATAAAAAGGGACTGGAAGTTCAAAAAGCAAAGTAGACTACTGAGGAAGTTGGGTTTACCAGACACAGATTAACCAGCAGTGCCAAAGGGAAAGTTAGAACATGAGGCGCTCTGTAATTTATACCTGTTACCTAGTATTAGACAGAGTAAATCAAGGAGGTCGATGGGTCAGGAAAAATAGTACGTATTCGGACATTATATATTTGCTTAGATGAGAAGATGATATTAACGTGGATTATAGACACATATCTTGAGGATATTGACTGAGTTCAACTGCCTCTCTACAATGTTATTTGGCAGATAATTTTGCTGGCGGTATATAATAACAGAGAATGTATTAATCCTCTTTCGATACTGGGTTTGTAGGAATATGTTTCCATGGTAACGTACTGCTGAGAAGCCACGGTATTTAGCTTTGAATGTTGAAATACAGTAGGAGATGAGTTTTATCTGATCGTGTTAAATTCAGACTAGATGGAACGATATTTCTAAGCATGTCACGTGTGTAACATGGAGAGGGTTAAGTGTCTGAGCATCTGGAAGTACCACGTGTCAGTGAACGAGAGTGTGACGTGACGCACTTCTCTTGACGCCGCGCTCCGCATTGTGCTTGATCCCGTGAAAGAATAACGGTTAACGAGGGAAAAGAACTTTTGGAGGAATCGATTTGTCACGACTTTCTTCTTCCAGTTTTCCCTTTTACCTTAAAGAAGAAAAAGAAACGTCTGAGAACCGAAAACTCGTTAGGTTCACTGCTTCTAGACAGCTGCGTGACAGGACGCACTCAAGCGGCCAGCCGGGGCAACTTTATTCATTAAGTGTTACTAAACTCGGAAGTAACAGTCGGAGTGTTACACACTGAGGCGCTCTGTAATTTTCCTTTTGCAATAAAATCAAGGTTGATGGGATGGACGGTACATGCAGCACGCGTGGAGAAAATTAGAAATGTATCCATACAGGTAATGAACTCTTGGGAATTTCTAGAGCAGCCAGAGGACTATAAACTTTCCCAGTGGGCTCTGACTTATCTATTAATAACTGGTCAGTCCTTGCGTGCCCGCTGTCCGCAGGAGGTTAATAATTGTTAAATAAGACCCAGTTATCATTAACTGAACACACTTTACAGTTATACTGCTATGAATGTAGCAGCGAGACTACCAATTGGATGGCCAGGATTAAAATTTCGCCTGGAGTAAAGATTTTTCTCTTCGTCGTCGTGTCCAGACTGATTCTGAGGTTCCAACCTCCTATCTAGTGTGTGCCGGGGGGGGGGGGGTCCCCATTCATCGGGTGTATGGCGACCGTATAATGAAACTCTGATCAATGCAGAGTTTAGGAATGTGTGGTAGTGTACACTCTGTCCTAAATTCTGATTGGTGTTTTCAGTGTGATACTACCATTGACTTTCTTATGCGAAAACGAATCCTTGATCTGAGATATATCAGTAGCGGTTATGGCAATTTTCTGCGTACTGCGAAATATGTGCTGCTGTAAAGGAGCTCCGGCGAAACGTTTGATAGTAGAATAAATCCGGTTGGTTTGCCCGTGCGTCCCGCCCAATAAAGCGGCGACGAATGGAAGTGGACAACTTCCGACGCCAAGAACGGTAAAATTCCTTCGGGTTCGTCGTCCAACACGCAACATATAAAAACGGAGTGCGGGAGAAGAAACTTACGGCGCCCGGCCGGACGGCAACTTCTTCTGCACGCGTGTGTAGCGGGTCAATCTGTACGTCGAGTGTAGGCGTTACTCTTGCTCCTTTAAACCGTCCTGAATAAGCATAAAGTTTTTATTTATATTAGTAATGCAGGTGTTAGGTCATTGTCCCTGTATTTCTTCACATTCTTATCATCTTCTTATTTTATTTTCTCTTCCACATCTTCCATGGTGCAGAGTCCTTGACAAGCTGGTAGTCCGTTCTTGTCAAGAATTTCGCCGACTTTCTTTCGGACCAGAAGGTTATTTACCGTGTTCGCAAGAACCCGCCACTGAGGCCCTGTGTAACGATACCTGATAACCTGTTTTTTTACGGCGAGTAGTTTGCTTCCCGGCTAACCCCCAAAATGGTGGGCTGCCCCCTTGCCGGCTGTCCTCGACTGCTTGTTCATTATATTCGCGTCTGCCCATCATGTCTGAAGGTCGTCTCCCCCATCTCCAACCCGTGGAGGCGACAAGGGAGCACCGACTTGACGCATTTCAAACTGTTTTCCTAGTCTACGCAAAAAAATAAATGACACTGTGTAAATATCGATCACAATAGCATACTTTCATTTTCATGATTCAGATAATCGAATGTATTTCTTTGGGTAAAGTTTGTGATAATTTACATTTTATAATATTCTGCTGTGTTCTATCCCAACCAGCAAGCTGTTACCAGGATTCGGACCAAGAGTGTAACCGGTTACAGTAAATTGTACGAGTGTTGAGGGCGGGGTGGGGTGGCTGTGGGTGGGTGGATCTGAACCTGTTACTTCCTTTAAATTCACTTGTTCGTACTGGACGCATTGTCCCAGTTTCCCGATCGGTTGGGTGACCTTGTGGAGAGCAGCTGATGCTTGTGGTTGCGTGAAACAAGGGCTGACGTCACCGTGACGTGAGATCACACCCACCGCCGGTCTTTGAGCTGCATCTGTACCCTGCGGTTCGCGCGCGACACGCGAGATGAATCCCACGGTCACGGATAAAGAAAGGCCAAGAATCGATTGCGGACACGTCGTGAAGAGAAGCTGAACGGCGCTGCCGATATTCTTCGGGTGAAATTAGAAAGACGACGAGGCTTGAAGCCCGAATAACCATCCTGAAACGGAAAACCAGATACCTTTTTGGTTGCCAACAATCGGTAACTTGGCAAGCTTACAAAACGTCGCCTAGTTGCTTCCTTCTAGAACCACCTGACGACGACGTTGGCACAATTTGACACTATGACGAGCCAGTTTCAGCCACTTCACATCTGCATTTTTCACCAAGATGCATCTCCAATTTCTTCCTCCAAGCGGTCGCTTTCGAAGAACTGTAACCAGAATTAATTTATTTCCGAGCT